GCGTGCGGTGTGCGCAAGAATTCCTTAGGATTCCATTCGGATTCGCTGAGGATTCGGTAGGATTCCTTGGGATTCCTTGGGATTCCTTCGGATTCGCGAGCATTCCTTAGCATTCCCTTCGGATTCGCTAGCATTCCTACAGGATTTCCTTACGATTCCCTGAGGATTCCTAGGCGCTTATACATTTCAGCGATTCCTGAGGCGCGCAAGCGCGAACCTGGACGGGAACGGCGTGCGGTCTGCGGAAGGATTCCTTAGGATTCCATTCGGATTCGCTGAGGCCTCGGTGGGATTCGGTAGGATTCCTTCGGATTCCTTCGGATTCGCTAGCATTCCTTAGGATTCCCTTTGGATTCGCTAGCATTCCAGGACTCCCTTACGATTCCCTGAGGATTCCCAGGCGGTTATGCATTTCAGGGATTCCTGGGGCGCGCAATCGGTAGGATTCCTTAGGGGTCCTTAGGGTTCCTTCGGATTCGCTAGCATTCCTTAGCATTCCCTTAGGATTCGCTAGCATTCCATCAGGATTCCCTCGGGATTTCTATGCGCTTATACACTTGGGGGATTCCTGAGGCGCGCAAGCGCGAACCCGGACGGGAACGGCGTGCGGTCTGCGCAAGGATTCCTTAGGATTCCATTCGGGTTCGCTGAGGATTCGGTAGGATTCCTTAGGGTTCCTTCGGATTCGCTAGGTTTCCTTGGGATTTCTTCCGGATTCGCTAGCATTCCTTCAGGATTCCCTTAGGATTCCCTCAGAATTCCTAGGCGTTCATGCACTTCAGGGGTTCCTGAAGCGCGCAAGCGCGAGGCCGGGCGGGAACAGCGCGCGGTCTGCGCAAGGATTCCTTAGGATTGCATCAGGATTTGCTGAGTATTCGGTTGGATTCCTTGGGATTCCTTAGGGTTCCTTCGGATTCGCTAGCATTCCTTAGCATTCCCTTAGGATTCGCTAGCATTCCTTCAGGATTCCCTTTGGATTCCTTCAGGGTTCCTAGGCGTTCATGCACTTCAGGGATTCTTGAGGCGCGCAAGCGCGAACCCGGACGGGGGCGGCGTGCGGTCTGCGCAAGGATTCCATTCGGATTCGCTGAGGATTCGGTAGGATTCCTTGGGTTTTTGTAGGATTCCTTCGGGTTTGCTAGCATTCCTTAGCATTCCCTTAGGATTCGCTAGCATTGCAGGATTCCCTTAGGATTCCTCAGAATTCCCAGGCGCTCATTCATTTGAGGGATTCCTGAGGCGCGCAAGCGCAAACCCCGGCCGGGAACGGCGTGCGGTCTGCGGAAGGATTCCTTAGGATTTCATTCGGATTCGCTGAGGATTCGGTGGGATCCCTTGGGATTCCTTAGGGTTCCTTCGGATCCGCTAGCATTCTTTAGCACCCCCTTAGGATTCGCTAGGTTTCCTTAGGATTCCCTTTGGATTCCCTCAGGATTCTTAAGCGCTTATGCACTTCAGGGATCCCTGAGGCGCGCAAGCGCGAACCCGGACGGGAACGGCGTGCGGTCTGCGGAAGGATTCCTTAGGATTCCATTCGGATTCGCTGAGGAATCAGTAGGATTCGGTAGGATTCCTTAGGATTCCTTCGGATTCGCTAGCATTCCTTAGGATTTCCTTTGGATGAGCTAGCATTCCTTCAGGATTCCCTTAGGATTCCTTCAGGATTCCTAGGCGCTTATGCACTTCAGGGATTTCTGGGGCGCGCAAGCGCGAGCCCGGACGGGGGCGGCGTGCGGTCTGCGCAAGGATTCCTTAGGATTACATTGGATTCGCTGAGGATTCCGTAGGATTCCTGAGGTTTCCTTCGGATTCGCTAGGTTTCCTTGGGATTCCCTTCGGATCGCTAGCATTCCTTCAGGATTCCCTCAGGATCCCTTCAGAATTCCTAGGCGCTCATGCACTTTAGGGATTCCTGGGGCGCGCCAGCGCGAGACCGGACGGGAACAGCGCGCGGTCTGCGCAAGGATTCCTTTGGATTCCATTCGGATTCGCTGAGGATTCGGCAGGATTCGGAGGATGCCTTAGGGTTCCTTCGGATTCGCTCGGTTTCCTTAGCATTCCCTTAGGATTCGCTCGGTTTCCTTAGGATTCCCTTCGAACTCCCTCAGGATTCTTAGGCGTTCATGCACGTCAGGGATTCCTGAGGCGCGCAAGCGCGAACCCGGACAGGGGCGGCGTGCGGTCTGCGCAAGGATTCCATTCGGACTCGCTGAGGCTTCGGTGGGATTCCTTGGGATTCCTTAGGGTTCCTTCGGATTCGCTAGCATTCCTTGGCCGTCGCTTAGGATTCGCCAGCATTTCAGGATTCCCTTAGGAGTCCCTCAGGATTCCCATGCGCTTATGCATTTCAGGGATTCCTGGGGCGCGCAAGCGCGAACCCGGACGGGAACGGCGTGCGGTCTGCGCAAGGATTCCTGAGGATTCCATTCGGATTCGCTGAGGATTCGGTAGGATTCCTTAGGATTCCTTAGGGTTCCTTCGGATTCGCTAGCATTCCTTCGCATTCCCTTAGGATTCGCTAGCATTCCACAATATTTCCTTAGGCTCCCCTCAGGATTCCTAGGCGCTCATACACTTCGGGGATTCCTGAGGCGCGCGAGCGCGAACCCGGACGGGAACGGCGCGCGGTCTGCGTAATGATTCCTTAGGATTCCAATCGGATTCGCTGAGGATTCGGTAGGGCTCCTTCGGATTCCTTAGGGTTCCTCCGGATTCGCTAGCATTCCTTAGGATTCCCTTCGGATTCGCTAGCATTCCTTTAGGATTCCCTTAGGATTCCTTCAGGATTCCCAGGCGCTTATGAACTTCAGGGATTCCTGGGGCGCGCAAGCGCGAACCCGGACGGGAACGGCGTGCGGTCTGCGCAAGGATTCCTTAGGATTCCATTCGGATTCGCTGAGGATTCGGTAGGATTCCTTGGGATTCCTTAGGGTTCCTTCGGATTCGCTAGCATTCCTTAACATTCCCTTCGGATTCGCTGGCATTCCAGGATTCCCTTAGGATTCCCTCAGGATTCCTAGGCAATCATGCACTTCAGGGATTCCTGAGGCGCGCAAGCGCGAACTCGGACGGGAACGGCGTGCGGTCTGCGCAAGGATTCCTTCGGATTCCATTGGGATTCGCTGAGGATTTGGTAGGATTCCTTAGGATTCCTTAGGGTTCCTTCGGATTCGCTAGCATTCCTTAGGAGTCCCCTTAGGATTCGCTAGCATTTCAGGATTCCCTTAGGGTTCCCTCAGGATTCTTAGGCGCTCATGCACTTCGGGGATTCCCGAGGCGCGCAAGCGCGAACCCGGGCGGGAACGGCGCGCGGTCTGCGCAAGGATTCCTTAGGATTCCAATCGGATTCGCTGAGGATTCGGTAGGGCGCCTTAGGATTCCTTAGGGTTCCTTCGGATTCGCTAGCATTCCTTAGGATTCCCCTCGGATTCGCTAGCATTCCTTTAGGATTCCCTTAGGATTCCTTCAGGATTCCTAGGCGCTCATGCACTTCAGGGATTCCTGGGGCGCGCAAGCGCGAACCCGGACGGGAACGGCGTGCGGTCTGCGCAAGGGTTCCTTAGGATTACATTGGGATTCTCTGAGGATTCGGTGGGATTCCTGAGGCTTCCTTAGGGTTCCTTCGGATTCGCTAGCATTCCTTAGGATTCCCTTAGGATTCACTGAGGACTCGGTGGGGTTCCTGAGGATTCCTTCGGATTCGCTAGGTTTCCTGAGGATTCCCTCAGGATTCGCTAGCATTCCTTCAGGATTCCCTTAGGATTCCCTCAGGATTCCTAGGCGCTCATGCACTTCAGGGGTTCCTGAGGCGCGCAAGCGCGAACCCGGACGGGAACGGCGTGCGGTCTGCGCAAGGATTCCTTAGGATTCCATTGGGATTCGCTGAGGATTTGGTAAGATTCTTTCAGATTCCTTTGGATTCCTTCGGATTCGCTAGCATTCCTTAGGATTCCCTCAGGATTAGCTAGCATTTCAGGATTTCCTTCGGATTCTTCAGGATTCCTAGGCGTTCATACACTTCAGGGATTCCTGAGGCGCGCAAGCGCGAAACCGGGCGGGCACGGCGTGGGGCGTGGGACCCAGGCGGGCACGGCGTGGGGCGTGGGGCCCGGGCGGGCACGGCGTGGGGCGTGGGGCCCGGGCGGGCACGGCGTTGGGCGCGGGCCCGGACGGGCACGGCGTGGGGCGTGGGACCCGGACTGGCGCGGCGTGGGGCCCGGACGGGCACGGCGTTCCCTAGTAGTAGTAGTAGTAGTAGTAGTAGTAGTAGTAGTAGTAGTAGTAGTAGTAGTAGTAGTAGTAGTAATAGTAGTAGTAGTAGTAGTAGTAGTAGTAGTAGTAGTAGTAGTAGTAGTAGTAGTAGTAGTAGTAGTAGTAGTAGTAGTAGTAGTAGTAGCTAGTAGTAGTAGTAGTAGTAGTAGTAGCAGCAGTAGTAGTAGTAGTAGTCGTAGTAGTAGTAGTAGTAGTAGTAGTAGTAGTAGTAGTAGTAGTAGTAGTAGTAGTTCGTAGTAGTAAGTAGTAGTCAGTAGTAGTAGTAGTAGTAGTAGTAGTAGTAGTAGTCGGAGTAGTAGTAGTAGTTAGTAGTCGTGAGTAGTTAAGTTATTAGTAGTATAGTAGAAGTAGTAGTAGTAGTAGTCGTAGTCGCAGTAGTGTTTTAGTAGTAGTCGTAGTAGTAGTAATAGTAGTAGTAGTAGTAGTAGTAGTAGTATAGCAGTAGTAGAGTAGTAGTAGTAGTAGTAGTAGTAGTAGCAGCAGCAGTAGTAGTAGTAGTAGTAGTAGTAGTAGTAGTAGTAGTAGTAGTAGTAGTAGTAGTAGTAGTAGTAGTAGTAGTAGTAGTAGTAAGGGGGAGGGGGGAGTTCCGAGGATTGAGTTTTTTGGGAAGGGGCGGCTTCTTGTCTGGAGGGGGGCCCCTTGCGCAGAGCAAGCCGAGCGCGGACACCGCCTTGCGGTGCCCGCCGCTTCTGCGCCTCTGTCCACCCTCCTCCTTCCCCTGGTGGGAGGTGCGGTGCCGCGCTCTGCGCCTCGCTCGGAACGCGGTGGGGGACGGCGCGCTGCGATGGCTGGCGGAGGCCCCGCGCGCTGCGCCGAGGGTGTTCTGGGTGTGGGAGGCGGGGGAGGAAAAG